CAAAGAGACCTTTGTGGGCTGAATTGCTCTTCTGCTTCCCACAATGAGTGTCCCTTCAGCCACAAAGCTTCAATCCCAGGCCTTTGTGTGTTAATTGGGGCGCGGAAGCCTATCTTATCATTGCTGGGTTGGCCGGGGACGCCTGTCCGTTTTGTTCTTGCTTTGCTTGTGCGGAGCAGCTTTCTGGGTTGCACGGGGGTTCGAAAGCACGACTGTTCGCAAGGGGTTGCCGTTTGCACCAGTGCAATGCACTCCCGTGCTAGTGAGATGGAGCATGGTCCCAGTGGTTCGTTGTTAGCTAGGAGTTGTAGGTTCAATTCCCCGCTTTGCAAGAGGCTTCCTGGGAAAGGCATTTAATTTCTCTTTGCCTCAGCTCAAAGTGCAGGCCGTAGTTCGGCCCGACCTCAGAGAGACGTGTGAAGACCAATTCATGAAGGATCCAGATGGTTCCCTATAAACGGGTAGACAGTTTGCATCCCGTGACTACAATGTGCATTGATACATGCAAATTTTGCTAATCTAGAGCCTGAATTCTGGCCCCTATTGTCCCCGTTTTATCAGAGAATCTCGCTTTGTGTGTAAATATAACAACACCTACCTCCTGCTTTTCATCAACGGCTACACGGTCTATCCTCACGACCCCCTGGGGAGCCGGGGCAGATCCATTATCCTCACATTACGGATGGGGGTCCGCGGCAGAGACAAAGGGGCCGGGCGGGATCCGAGCCGAGGTCTCCCCAGCGCATTGCGTGGATGTCTGTATAATTACCCCCTTTGGTCGCGTAACGGGGCCTGTCATTACTGGCCTGCTAAACCCAGGGTTGTGAGTTCAATCCTTGAGGGGGCCACTTAGGGATCTGGGGCAAAAATCTGTCTGGGGATTGGTCCTGCTTTGAGCAGGGGGTTGGACTAGATCCCTCCTGAGGTCCCTTCCCACCCTGATATTCTGTGATTTCTGATTACGTGACCTTGCTGAGTCTGGAAAGCTGTCGTTATTGGCACAGCCAGATGAGTGCTCCGGGCCACTGCTCCGTTTCTCATCAGCCCCAGGCTACCTCGGAGCATTGGGGAGCGCGGGGCAGATGGACACTTGATTAGCATTTATTTCAGCTGTGGATAGAAATTCATCTGTTCAGAGCAGGAACCTTCTGAGTGTGGACCAGGCCTTGGGCGCAGGGGAGGTGTTGGAAGCTGTTTAACACGCTTGGGGCGGGCCCCTCCCAGGAGCAGGGATATTTAACGCATCAGCTCCTGCCCGGGGGGGGCTCTTAATAGACGGGCAGGGATGTGTTTTCCCTGCCTTTGCTGGAGAGTCCGATTAGGGCGTGGCTCCCTGCTGAGCTCGGTGGTGGGAGGTCGGTCTGGGGAGGAGACGGCGCGGTGACGGTCACCCCAGAGCTTCCCGGGGCCTTGCTGCGATGGTCCAGACTGCTACCTGATTGGACCAGGTGCTGCACCCCGCTCTGCTCCTTCTCTGCTCCAGGAGGGGGCCAGGGTGTCAAAAGAGCTCAGCACCCAATGGGAATCCTCCCTTCCATTCCCCCCACTGAGAACAATGGCGTATCCCCCTGCTAGAGAACAATGGGGGAATCCCCCCACTGAGAACAATGGCGTATCCCCCTGCTGGAGAACAATGGGGGAATCCCCCCCACTGAGAACAATGGCGTATCCCCCTGCTGGAGAACAATGGGGGAATCCCCCCCCACTGAGAACAATGGCATATTCCCCTGCTGGAGAACAATGGGGGAATCCCCCCCACTGAGAACAATGGCGTATCCCCCTGCTAGAGAACAATGAGGGAATCCCCCCCACTGAGAACAATGGCGTATCCCCCTGCTGGAGAACAATGGGGGAATTCCCTCCTCCCCTTCCCCCATTGAGATCAGTGGAGTGTCCTCCTGCTGGAGAACGGTGGGAAACCCCTCCCAAATGGAGGATCCCCCTGTTGCATGTATTGCCTGGAGCATCCAGCGTGCCCCATTTCAGTGCTGGGTTCTGCAGGGTTGTCAGTCGAGGTGTGCAAGGATAGGGGCAACTAAGAACAGAGGATACCGGCGCCCTTTAGCTTCTTAATTCCAGGTGCCAGGTTTTGGGTGGGCAGGGTGCGTCCTGCTCCCACCTCAGCAGGGCCCTACGGGAAGCCCTTGTTTGCGTTGTTTAAGGTGATCTCGGGGAGCATGCAGTGAACGCACACAATGGGGCTTACATTTCACTGCGGGCCAGGCAGCAAGAGCCCAGAACCAGGGCTAGGGCCTGTCTTCAACGCACCCCCTGTCGCGCTCTGCTTCCATCTTTGCACGCGGGTTTCCGGAGCCCCGTGGGGCTGAGTGGGTGGCCCAGCGCAGCTCTCCTGAGGAAATGGATGTGGTCGAGGAGGGATGCTGGTGCGCTCTGGACATGCGTGACAGGAGCTAGGTTTCCTGCTCCTTGCCTCTTGTGGCTGATCCTTTAAATAGGAAATGCTGAGCCATGCAGCTGAGGTTAGAGACAATGTGACTCATATTTCAGAATCAAATTCTGTCACTGTTTCAAAGCGGCTCGCGCAGTCCTTTCCCTCGCTGCTTCCCTTCCTGGGCTTGGGTGACCACGTTTGTACCTGTATGCCGGGCGGTCTCCGGGCTTGTGGTGTTCTGATGGCCTGGGGACAGATTCTCCGTTGCCCTGGACTTCTGTGTTCCCTGAGCCGCTCCTTTATGCTAGGTGTGTATAAACACAGAACAAAAACACAGGTCTTGCGCCGATGATCTTACAGTCTAACCGGTGTAAACCACAGCTCTTCTGGTAGCGGTCTGCGCTTGGTTTGCATTGGTGGAAGCATCTACACACGGCGCAGGGTGGAGGTGAATTGGGCCCGTTGTCTTTAAAAGTCCAGCTGGGAGATACCCTGCCTAGAAATCATTGGTTTCGATCAAACGTTTCCTTTTTATTCCCCAGCTCCCAGAAAATCTTTACATGCAAAATATTTGAGCTTGCAGGATATGCCTACGCTGCACAGGTGTCATTGCAACACAGATTGGTGTATCTCGGCCAAGTGGCGCTGAAACCACGGTGGTGGGGCCATGCGTGCCCACCCGGGAATATGCTCGCATTCCTAGCCTGCCCTCTGATGCATTTGCTGCTAGTTTTAGCCGGGCGGGCTAGGGAAAAGCTGGCCCACGTCTGTCTGCCTGAGCCGGAATTGCACCTCTGAGTGCAGGGTAGATGTACCTGTAACAGGGTCCTTCTCCCCTTTTCGCAGGCGGGGAGCCGAGGGCCGCGTGCGGTAGTGACCTGTGCAAGGTGTCACAAGATGTCAGCGGTAGAGCTGGAACGGGACCCCAGGTCTCCTGAGTCCCTGCGCATTGTCCTGGCTATAAGCCCATCCTTCCCTCACGCTAGTGCGGATGCTGCTAGGGCTGTGGGGGGCGGGGGGCTGGTAAGGACAGCAGAAATCTTCGCTGTTCCCATCGCCTGCCCAGATGTCCGAAGTGCCCACTGACCCCTGAAGTGACGTTCTTCCCCCCTTTCCCCCGTCTCCTTTCTTTAGAGTTTCTGGCCAACTGCTCGGCCCTGGGGTGCCAGCACCACTGCGTCCCGACGCTCGTCGGACCCACCTGCTACTGCAACAGCTCCTTCCAGCTGGCCGAGGACAGGAAGAGCTGCAAAGGTTGGTGGCGGATGGGGACGATGCAGCCTGTGAACGCGGCCCCGGTGTGGGCAGGGACAGGACTGCCGGGGCGCAGTATCAGCTCAGTGGGCCACGTATGACCAGCCAGCCTGGGGTGGGGGTAGGGAGCGGGGTGGCTTCCAAAGGGATTTGGACACTTAGCGCCCATTAGAATACCACAGCTTTGAAAATCCCATCCTGAGTGTCACAGTGACGTGGCGGGGTTGTGTAGTAGCCCAGGACAGAGCAGCACAACGGATTAAACTGATTCCTTCGCCCCGGGGTCCCCCATTGGAGCACTGAGCAGGCGGCCCCCATGAGGGGGACCAGCATCCTTGGATGCATCAGGAAGAGGCTCTGAGTCCCTGGGAGTGGGAGAGCGTTTTGAGAACCAGTGGGTGGAAGCTGATGCTACAGAAATTCAGACTGGAGTGAAAGGGGCGGATTTTTAAGAGCATCGTTTCACCAGGGCTGGGGTGGATTCGCTGTCACTCGGCCGATGTCTGTTAAAGTTCTGCTCTGGCTCAGCCGGAAGTTCTGGGCCGGCTGCAGGATTCGCGGGGTGAGATTCTCTGGCCTGGGTTACACAGGGGGACAGACTAGAGGATTGCGCTGGTCCCTTCTGGCCTTTAAACCCTATGATTAGACTCCCCTGGTGCGGGGTGTGTGTGTGTGTGTGTGTGTGTGTGTGTGTGTGTGTGTGTGTGTGTGTGTGTGTGTGTGTGTGTGTGTGTGTGTGTGTGTGTGTGTGTGTGTGTGTGTGTGTGTGTGTGTGTGTGTGTGTGTGTGTGTGTGTGTGTGTGTGTGTGTGTGTGTGTGTGTGTGTGTGTGTGTGTGTGTGTGTGTGTGTGTGTGTGTGTGTGTTCCTCCCGCATGTCCCGTTCCCTGCTGCTCCACCGTGAGCACTGGGGGTCTCTGTCCTTTCCCTGGCTCACCGGTAACTGGTGCAGTTGTGGGACCCAGCCTTGTTCTCTTGCCCTCCCCTGCAGACTTCGATGAGTGCACCATCTACGGGACCTGCAGTCAGACGTGCACAAACACGGAGGGCTCCTACACGTGCAGCTGCGTCGAGGGCTATCTCCTGCAGCCCGATAACCGATCCTGCAAAGCGAAGAATGGTAGGTGGTGTTTTCGCAGCGTGGCGTGGCTTCCGCCTGTCTCCAGCTCTCGGGACCTGGGGATGCGTGCAAAGCCACCTGGCTGCCCCAGAGCGTGCGTGGCGCTCCTGCCGTGTTTGCACATGACCTAGGGGTGTGTGCGTGTGCAAAGCCACCCGACTGCCCCAGAACATGTGTGGTGCTCTTGCCCTGTTTGCACGTGACCCAAGCGTGTGTGTGCGTGCAGAGTAACCCGGTGGCCACACCATGCGTGCGAGGTGCTCCTGCCCTGTTTTCACGTGACCCAGGCGTGTGTGTGCGTGCAGAGTAACCCAGTGGCCACACCATGCGTGTGAGGTGCTTGCAGGGGGGCCTGGTGTATGTGCAAAGCCACCAGGCCGCCTCGAGCGTGCATGTTTTGCGGGTGATGTCGGGAATCGTGACTCCCCATGTTACAGCTCGGTCTCCTGTGGGGGCTCCTTTGCCCCCCGCATTGGAAATTCAGTCCCCTCGTGTTCCCTCTTGCATGGGTCAGGCTGTGGGTTCCCTGCTGGGGCCTGGGGCATAGATTGAGCAGGAATCCAGCTGCCTCCTTAATCCTCCCTGGCTTCCCCCCCCCCCTTTCCCCTTTTCCAGAGCCTGTAGACCGGCCCCCGGTGCTGCTCATCGCCAACTCCCAGAACATCCTGGCCACCTACCTGAGCGGCGGCCCCGTGCCCAACATCATCCCCACCAGCACCAAGCAGACCACCGCCATGGACTTCAACTACATCGAGGACACGGTGTGCTGGGTCCACGTGGGCGACAGCGCGTCCCAGACCATCCTCAAGTGCGCCAAGATCCCCAACCTGAAGGGCTTTGTGGAGGAGCGCTCCATCAACATCTCCCTCAGCCTGCACCGTGAGTGGCCGCTTCGGTGCTTTCGCCCCTCCCACCCCTTGCTCCTCTCCGCTCTCCCCGCCCTCCTGCTGCCGCGTCTGCGCCTCTTTAAATGCACCCTTCCCACGCCGGAACAGGCCGGAAAGGGGGGACCCTGGGGGTCTGGCCTGGGGTAGTACCGGAGCTTTAAGCAATTCGGTGCACAAGCTCCTTAGGAATCCAGTGGGCTCCGGGGTCTAACTCCCCTTGGGATCCTCGGCAAGGCCTGAACGTCTTGCGTTAAAGCCAGTCATAAGCATTCCTTTATTTGCTTGAAAAATATTTGGTTGATTTAAAACAGCTTTTTCCCAAGGGCCTGCAGCTTCCTCCCCCCTTCGCTTTGATCCCTTCCTGCCTCCTGTTTACAATTTCCAATGAGCTGCGAGCGCAGGTCGGCCCGGGATCGATCAGCTCCTTGCGCGAGGTGGGGGGTGGTAGGGGAAATCGACCGTGGTTGCTTGTTGTTTTTGTATTTGAGCCCCGTGCTTCTGTGGCCTAAATCGGCTCTGGCCGTAGGTAGTGATTTAAAACCCCAGAAATTCCCCCAGTGGAAGCAGCTCCGTGGGGGGAGGCTGAGTCATGGCCAGCGAGTCGCAGATGGTGGGTTTAATTCTGTTTGCATCTCCTGAGCTGTAACAAGACTGGTTGCCGGGGGCGCCGCTTGGGGTCTCGAGCAGGGGGGAGGCTGCAGGTTAAAAAAAATGTACCGGCCAGTGCTGTTTTATCAACAGTAAAGCTGGGGGGCTGGTCTGGAGACTGTGGCGGGGTTGGGGGGGGCAGCAGTTGGTGTTTAGGGCCTTGGGGGTGTGGAGCAGGATCAAGGGGCTTGGAGGGTGGAGATTGGGGTAGACGCGGAGGGTGTGGGGGGATTATGGGTTGGAATCAGGTGGGGCGGGGGACAGGCCTTCTGGGCCTGCAGCAGCGCTCAGCCGGAGGACGTGCTGGGAGCACGGGGGAGGGGTCTTTGCCCCTCTCCGCCCCCCCCCTTGTGGTGCCCTGATTGCAGCAGCCGAGTCCATGGGAGAGTGTGCATGGGCTTGGGGTCAGGGCGCTGCTGGGTGAGGAACCGCAGGAAATCTGTCTGTCCCGATGTGGGAAGGGAGGGGGTGAAACTCTCCATTCTCCTCCTCCTCCTCACGCAGCGTCAAGCTCCATCAAAGCCCGGTGGAGCTGCAGCCGCGGGAAGCTGGTGTGGGAGGAGGCAGGAGGCCCGGGACTGTGACTCAGGAGGGCTGGGTGCCATTGCCAGCACTGATCCATGGTGCGAGTCACCCGGTGGTGTTTGGCGTTACGTGACTCGCAGAAGGCTTTGGGGATCTAGCTCCTTCGGAAATACCGCGCCCCCCCCCCGGGCTTCTCTTCCCCAGCTGCGACGTGGGCATCGTCCCCTTCCTTCGTCCGGCCTGTGGGGAGTGGAAGCTCGGGCCCCGTTTCTAGCTTGGGGCCGCTCTGACCAGCCACGCCTTGCGTTAAAAACGACGCTTTTGCTCCCGGGGACGGATCTCTGCACCGCAGTAAAACCCCAGGGGTTCAGCCCGTCTCCTCGGCCTCGTGTGGAGGGTCCTGCGAGGGCACCGCAGTGTAGCTAGGGCCCTGGGGCAGTGGCATGAAATCCTGAGTCCTTACTGCAAACTGGGGGTGTGAGAAGGAGAAAGATCTTTCCCAGCGCTCCTGACCTTTGGACTCTGGAGCAACTTGGGGAGGGGGGTGAGGTGTGTGTGTGAGTGTGTGTGGCCTCGCCCTCTGCTCTTGCAGGCGACAGTCTGAAACGAGGCAAGAGGAGACCAATCCCTGCTCTTTGTTGGCATGTTGGGAAGATGGTTTAGTGGGGGGTTTTGGGCACCCCTGAGGAGAGAGGGCCCAGGAGAGGAAGGATGATGCACTAGCCAGACAAACCAGCAGGTCAGTGGCAGGGCATGCGGGAGAAGGCCAGTGTTGAGTCAGACCCACGCGTCTGTCGTGTCAATCGGGTGGGACCTGTCTTCATGGGGCTGATTTGACTCTGGACTACAGACCAGACCACACTGAATCAGTTGCGAAATCTGAAGCGGCTCCTGAAATCCTAGATTTTTTTCTGCTTTTCTAAAAATGCACCGTCAGGGGCGTGGCCGGGAGCAACTGATTTCATTACAGACTCGGGGTTTAGAGGAAGGCCTATGGCGAGCGCTGACTGCTCTGCAGAGCTGTCTGGTGAGCCGTTCATGCCGGAGGAAGGCTGGGCCAGCGGTTAGGGTTTAGGAGCGCTGGGTTTAATTCCTGGCTCTGCCATAACGTTGCTGTGAGACCATGGGCCAGTCACCGAGCCTCAGCTTCCCTATCTCTCAGATAACACCAGCCTGCCTCAGAGGGGGGTTGTCAGGATAGATGCATTAAAGACTGTGATGTGCTTAGCTACTGTGGTCATGGGGCCAGAGCAGTACCCGAAGGACCGGGGGAGGGATAGCTCAGTGGTTTGCGCATTGGCCTGCTCAACCCAGGGTTGTGAGTTAAATCCTTGAGGGGGCCACTCTAGGAATCTGGGGCAAAATGGGTACTTGGTCCTGCTAGTGAAGGCAGGGGGCTGGACTCGATGACCTTTCAAGGTCCCTTCCAGTTCTAGGAGATAGGATATCTCCATTAATAATAATAAATATTAATATTATATCTAATATATACCTTAGGGAGATACATTTATTTTTTCCTTGATGGGGGATGGGATTCGCACAGGGCACAGGACTCCTGGGTTCCATTCCTGGCTTTGCCATTGCCTTGCTGTGCGGGCGTGCCATTTCCCCTTTCCGAGCCTCAGTTTCTCCACCGATGAATTACCGTTACCCACCGTGCTGTGCTGGATTTCTTGCTTGTAATACTCTGCGCGTTTGCTAAAAGCGCTCAGTTAGTGTAAAACACGATCAGTCTCCCAGAGGGAGTAAAGACCAATGCTGCTTTGCATCTCCCAGGAGTCTCTCCTCTTGCCAGAGGGAGGCTTCGATACACAGCCTCAATTAACTGTCTGTGATAACCCCAGAGAGCTGAGAAGGCGGAGACCTGGGGCCCTGCAACGATTTCGGCTGCTGGCTCAATCTACCCCGTTAGACATGGTAGCGGAGACCTGCAATTACTGAAAGGTGTCTGCGAGCAGCTTAATCCCAGGTGTTGCGGGTGTGCTGTTGATCGCAGTCCCGGTGTCTGGGGTGGCTGAGGTACCGGCGGGCTGGGCTTTTTTCTGTACAGCAGTCTCTCTTCAGGAATTAGCACTTCCCTCTTGAGTTATGCTCATCTAAAGCAGGTCGCGGGGTGTTTTGCTCGTGTTGTTTTGCTGCTGGTAACTTGCACAAAGGAGGAAGTGAGAGATGATGGCTGACGTTTGGTGGATCGCTTTCTGGCCTCCCGAGTGCTCTGACTTCTTCCAGAGCTATCTCCTTCAGAGTTGCGTTTGAGGAGAGGAATGTGCCGCTCAAGCGGACAGGATGCTGTCAAGACAGGAGGAAAAACAGAGTGTGTTTCAAATCCACCTTTCCTCAGTTGCCTTCCTACTGCAGCGTTGAAGTGGAGTGGGAGAGTGGGGGCTGTGCGTTCCACCTCCAGCATTGGCAGAGAGTCCCTTTGTGAGCTTGTACAAGTCGCTTCATCTCCGCAGGCCTTCTCTTGTCTATTTCGCTTGCAAGCTCTTCATGGCAGGTGCAAATCCAGGGACTTCAGTGGAATCACATCCACTTATGTCCTGTTAACATAGCCATAAACACTATACATAAGAAATTTGATTGAGGCCTTTCAGAATAAAATCAGTAACGCTGGAGCTTCGGACTAAAGTCTGATTTAAATGTAGTAGCTCTGTTGAGGTGAGACGAGGAGGGTGTCTGTGCAACACCTACGAATAATGCAACATTTTGGGGAGAAAACCCATGTGAGGCTTAACAATAATTTACTACTTGTCATGGATGCAAGATTCCAACCCCAAGTGTCCCGAGCTCCTGAGTCTGGCTCCCAAGATGTCCTGAGATTTAAAAAAATAAATACATTTGGGGTTCTTTTTATTTGACTTCTCGTTTCTGAGCTGTGGGTTTCGCTTGTGTTTCCAAACTTTTCTCTGTAACCATGAGGACGAGAAGCTTTTATTTTATTTATGTATTTTAAAGGAAGTTGCGATTCTCATGTAGTCACTGGACTCCAGCAGCTGGGAATTAAAAAAAACAAAAGCAAAAACCCTTTGCAAACAGCGCAGGGTGCGTGATAAAATCAGGAGAGTTGGCAGCACCACCGATGGTTATTTGGCTTATGCATTTCACTCGTCTCGGCCTGTGAAACTAGACAAGTCAGTTTCACTTTCTGCTTTGCCTGCGTCAGTTTGAGTTTCCAATTCTGCTGAGAAATCTTTCCAGGGTTTGTTTATAAATGCAAAGCTTAAATCGAATGTAAAGTGTTATAAATGCTCCCTTTACCTTCTGGGCCTAAGCTGTTCTGTGTTTAAGAGATGTGGTCTTACCATGATTTTATCTTACAGGAGAGTAAAGCTGATCTGTAAATCCAGTTAGTGGCTCCTTTATTTACTTGTCTCTTTATGGCATTTATCTAGTGACAGCAGGAGTCTGGCTTCCCCAGTGCCTACTGCTAATGGGGTTTGCGTTAGCATCTGATGGGGAAATCCCAGTGCTAAAGGGTTGAGAATTACCAGCCCCCCAGCTGGCGTTGCTGTGCTGGAATGATGAGTTGTGTCTGTCCGGTTCCGATAGTAGCTGCGCATCCATGGTTTTTCTGCTGAGAGATTAGCGTGACTAGCATGGCAGGAGATAGGGCTCTCGGCAGAGGTTGGCAGGAACCCATGTGCACGGATCTTTCTGTTTTCCTCCACTGCTAACTTTTTATTCAGCCAAATGCCCTGGGCACAGATGAATTTCTGCGTGATGATTCTGCTCGTGGCTCCAAACGCAGACTGCCGGCACGACAACGCTTGGCTCGAGAGTTGTCACTGGAGCTGGTTTGCAGCTGCCCCAAATGACTCC